AAAAAAAAAAAAAAAAAAAAAAAAAGAAACTTATTCTCACTACCAAATATATATTACTAGAGATAAAAGAATCTAACACGCAAATATTAGATCTATGTTGCATAATTTTATGCTCATTATGCAACTCATCCCAATAAATTATTAAAGAGAAAAAATAAAAGCTTAAAATATACTTTTAGTTAATATCATTTCTAACAAACGTGAAAATTTAAAAACAGAAATGTAGCTTTAATCTTTAAAAAAAACTTCATTAAGTCAACAAAATTAAAGAAAAATTTGCAACAAATGAGGCAAATATAATGTAATTAAAATAAAAGCGTTACCAAAAGTCAAGAGAGACAATTTTAATTAGAAATTATAACACTGACATGGTAAACCAACCCCCATTTCTATGAAGGAACAAAAATATGCTTAGAACGTGCAGTACTTATTCTCTTAAATTAAGGCCTCAAAGGCATCTCCATCAAGTTAGTTGTCGATGGCCATGATGAACTTACAAACTCAATATTCAATTCAAGCTTCCAAAAAGTCCTATCTCTGATAAGCCAAGATTGAATTAAAAAACTGCAATGCATAGTTTTAGGCCCAAAAAGCTTTCACATTAAGATTATTCAATCATATTCTGTCAACCAACAAGGCATTGATGAGTAGTATATAAAGGGTTGGAAGCATACCTTGTAATGCAACTCACACCCATAATCTATTGTATTTGAAGGAAATAGATATCCAGCAATAAGTGGGCATTGCTGGAAGATGGGGGCTATGAAGCCTTTGAGGCATTGGCCTCAGCTGCTCTCGGTGGTGGCGATTTGCCTCATTGCCACCACCGTAGTGACTGCTCAAGTCGATGATGATTTGTTGTTACCTATCAAAAACCCTGAACTCGGTGGTGATTTACCAAAGCATCAACATCACAATACTTATCCGCCGGTGGATCATCACCATAAACCACCACAGTCGAAGTATGGACACCACCACAAGCCACCACCTCCACCAAAATACAAGCACCACCACAAGCCACCACCTCCACCAAAATACAAGCACCACCACATGCCACCCCCACCCAAACATTACCACCACCACAAGTCACCACCTCCATATCTTTACAAGTCTCCGCCACCACCTCCCTACGTCTACAAGTCTCCACCACCCCCACCGTATGTTTACAAGTCTCCGCCACCACCTCCCTACATTTACAAGTCTCCACCACCACCTCCTTATGTCTATAAATCTCCTCCACCACCTCCATATGTCTACAAGTCTCCACCACCCCCACCTTATGTTTACAAGTCTCCGCCACCACCTCCCTACATTTACAAGTCTCCGCCACCACCTCCATATGTCTACAAGTCTCCGCCACCACCTCCCTACATTTACAAGTCTCCACCACCACCTCCCTACATTTACAAGTCTCCGCCACCACCTCCATATGTCTACAAGTCTCCGCCACCACCTCCCTACATTTACAAGTCTCCACCACCACCTCCTTATGTCTATAAATCTCCTCCACCACCACCATATGTTTACAAGTCTCCGCCACCACCACCATATGTTTACAAGTCTCCGCCACCACCTCCCTACATTTACAAGTCTCCGCCACCACCTCCATATGTCTACAAGTCTCCGCCACCCCCACCTTATGTTTACAAGTCTCCACCACCACCTCCATATGTCTATAAATCCCCTCCACCACCACCTTATGTCTATAAATCCCCTCCACCACCTCCATATGTCTACAAGTCTCCGCCGCCACCACCTCCCTACGTCTACAAGTCTCCGCCACCACCTCCCTACATTTACAAGTCTCCGCCACCACCTCCTTATGTCTATAAATCCCCTCCACCACCTCCATATGTCTACAAGTCTCCGCCACCACCTCCCTACGTCTATAAATCTCCTCCACCACCTCCATATGTCTACAAGTCTCCTCCACCACCTCCATATGTCTACAAGTCTCCACCACCCCCACCTTATGTCTACAAGTCCCCGCCACCACCTCCATACGTCTACAACTCTCCTCCACCACCTCCCTACGTCTATAAATCTCCTCCACCACCTCCATATATCTACCAATCTCCGCCACCACCTCCATATATCTACAAATCTCCGCCGCCGCCGCCACCCTATGCTTACAAGTCTCCCCCACCACCTCCCTACGTTTACAAGTCTCCTCCACCACCTCCCTACATCTATAAATCTCCTCCACCACCTCCATATGTCTACAAGTCTCCTCCACCACCTCCCTACATCTATAAATCTCCGCCGCCACCATCTCCTTATGCTTATAAATCTCCTCCACCACCTCCCTATGTCTACAAGTCTCCTCCACCACCTCCCTACATCTATAAATCTCCGCCGCCACCATCTCCTTATGCTTATAAATCTCCTCCACCACCTCCCTATGTCTACAAGTCTCCTCCACCACCCCCCTATGTCTACAAGTCTCCACCACCCCCACCGTACGTCTACAAGTCTCCACCACCGCCTCCCTACGTTTACAAGTCTCCACCACCACCTCCCTACGTCTATAAATCTCCTCCACCGCCACCCTACGTCTACAAGTCTCCTCCACCACCTCCCTACATCTATAAATCTCCGCCGCCACCATCTCCTTATGCTTATAAATCTCCTCCACCACCTCCCTATGTCTACAAGTCTCCTCCACCACCCCCCTATGTCTACAAGTCTCCACCACCCCCACCGTACGTCTACAAGTCTCCACCACCCCCACCGTACGTCTACAAGTCTCCACCACCGCCTCCCTACATTTACAAGTCTCCACCACCGCCTCCCTACGTCTATAAATCTCCTCCACCGCCACCCTACGTCTACAAGTCTCCTCCACCACCTCCTTACATCTATAAATCTCCTCCACCACCACCCTATGTCTATAAGTCCCCTCCACCACCTCCCTACATCTATAAATCTCCTCCACCACCTCCTTATGTCTACAAGTCTCCGCCACCACCTCCTTACATCTATAAATCTCCGCCGCCACCACCTCCTTATGTCTACAAGTCCCCTCCACCACCTCCCTACATCTATAAATCTCCGCCACCACCTCCTTACATCTACAAATCTCCTCCACCACCACCCTATGTCTATAAGTCCCCTCCACCACCACCCTACGTCTATAAATCTCCACCACCACCTCCCTACGTCTACAAGTCCCCTACACCACCTCCCTACGTCTACAAGTCTCCCCCACCGCCTCCCTACGTCTACAAGTCACCTCCACCGCCTCACTATGTCTACAAGTCTCCTCCCCCTCCTTATATCTATAAATCACCACCTCCACCATCTCCATCACCACCTCCTCCATATATTTACAAATCTCCGCCTCCACCATCTCCATCACCTCCTCCACCTTATTACTATAAGTCACCTCCACCTCCATCCCCATCACCACCACCACCTTACTATTACAAGTCCCCTCCCCCTCCAGTGAAGTCTCCACCACCACCATATTATTATAAGTCTCCACCACCACCATCTCCATCACCACCCCCACCTTATTACTACAAATCACCACCTCCACCGCATAAATCCAAATATCCACACTAGAACACCACCAACAAAAGTTCACTAAGTGATGGCATTTAAATTATATTAAGTTGTATGAATAATATTAGCCAACTTTCTACATAGAAGGTGAATTTGGAGGCGATCAATTTAATTAATGGTGTGACTGTTCCTGGATCCTTTGCGAGTGTATCATTCCAGAGGAATTGTTGTATTGTTTTTTTGGCATCCAAGATCTGGATGCTAAATATTTGAATTCTATCAATTGTTGTATTTGACTTTACATAATCCTTGGCAAATTCAATTCTTCTGGTTTGTGTTTATCACTATTTCATTTAAATTTATGTATTTTGATGTTTAATTGATGATGACGAGATCGTAAGCTTTCTGAAATTGATGTATTTAAATGTTCAAGTTATGATGATAGATCGAATACTTTCTAACCATTGCTCCAAATACTACTAAACTAACAGTTGCTGATAAGTTGTTGATTCTTAACTAAAAATCATTAATCCTTTTGTTCATCTAATAGGATGTTCTTGTTTCTTATAAAAATAATAAACAAAAAGGATAAAAAGTGGTTTAAATTTTTACACTCAGGATCACACTGGCTGGAGATAAAAAGGGAGTAAATGCCAACCGACAAGAATTAAGATTGGATGGTCTTAGTTGAAATTTAATACATGTTGTTACAACACAGATGTAGCTTTTGTTTATTTATAGGGTAGAACGAGAAGCTAAAGAAAAAAGTAGGTGTCTTCTTCTAATTAGGACTTTTTCAAACCCAAAACAGTGAGAACAAGCTGAAAATAGTTAAGACTGTAAGCTTCTCGAAGCAGCTGAAGCTTGTGACTGTTCCATGGCGGATATCTGAACCAGAAGTCAACCAAAAAGCTCCTCTTCAGAACAGCCTTTTCATGACTAAAAGTGTCGAATGAGAATTTTCCATGGTACCTTCCAATCCCACTTTCACCAACCCCTCCAAACGGGAGTGTATCGGCTGCATACTGAATCGACAACAAAAACGACAATAAGGCTTTTGAAGCAGCAGCAGCAGCAGCTTATAATGGCTTGTTTTTCTTTTGACCCACTTGTGTCAGCACACCTACTATGGTTTCTCCATACAGACTCTGGCTTAAGTTATGAGGCCAAGCTTAAATTTGCGGTTTGTTTATTTCGATCTATGGATGTGCTGATTCTAATTCTACTTTGCCATATAAAAAAAATTGATATATGATCATCCAAACATAGGCCATATAATTCAGATCCAAAACTATTTCAGCTCACACTTAATACTAAAATATTTTTCAATGCTTTCGTAGAAAGGAAATGGAAAAGTCCGTACCTGAATAATTGCATCATTGAATGTCAAACTGCCGGACGAGGTTTCTGAGACGAGTCTCCTTTGGAAAGCTTTATCCTTTGTGAAGGCATAAACGGCGAGAGGCTTAGGTTTTGAATTGATGAAATCTATACTGTCTTCAATCCTGTCCAGCTACCCAAGGAAGAAATTGAATATGATCCATCACTTTCCACTTTTACTAATCCACCAGAATGAAAGGCTGGACAATATTATAGAGCTGTAAATGAAGAACATGAACTTACTCCAATTATGGGAAGCAATGGTCCAAAGATTTCATCCGTCATAATTTCTGCATCGCTTGGCGGATTCAACAGAATAGTCGGCTCAACAAACCTAATTCATTTTATCACATTGTTTAATTTAAGGAAGTATTATTATAGCTAAGTTCATATGTGGAATAGACTACTAATATTAATCACTCACAATTTGTCTTCGTCCATGGATCCCCCATAGATGATCGTAGCTCGTACATCAGGTTCATCCACCAGATTCTTCAATCTCAAGAAATTTTGTTTGTTTACGATCCTCGCCATGGTTTTCGCCTGGTTCGAACTTTTATCAAAGAATTCCTTGATAAACTTCTTCATCAATTCGACCTAAAAACAACGAATCAAACACCGCGTTCTGGAAATTAAGGGGAACGATCGAGCGATTAATCAAGAAATCGTACCAATGTAGGTATAAACCTATGTTCAATGAGGACATAATCGATTGCAATGCAAGCTTGACCGGCGCAGTTCCCGAATTTTCCGATGACGATCCGTTTGGCAGTAGCCTTGCAGGTCAAAATCGAAGAAGAATCATGTCTTATTCTGTTTCTAATATTGCAGAATTAAAACAGCGCGAGCGCAGCGGCAAAATCATTTGTATTTCTATAAATAAATAAATAAATAAAAATATAAAACTAATTAATTATACACCAAAGGAAGGTTAAATTATAAACTTATTTAAAAAAAAAATTAGAGTTTTTTTTTTTTTTTTTTTTTTAGAATTTCATAAATTTGATTTTATATCGTGGAGATTGTTAATGAAAGTTTTATAAAACTATAGGTTATTATTTTAATTTAAATTTTAACTATAAATTTGATAATTGTATTAATTTTTATGTCACATTTTTACAAACATTATAATTTTAATTATAATTAATTATAATGCATTTTTAATTTAAGGAAACACTAACAAAAATACTATCATCTTCAATTAATGAACATTAAAAACAAACCACATGTTTAATGCAAAATTAATGAAGCTTCAAAAATAATGGACACTATAAAATTAATTGATTTAAAACAAATTAATTACAGTTCGAATTTTGTTTAATTTAATAAATTATTATTATTATTATTATTATTATTATTTTGTATAAATTATTGGTAACGACCGACATAAACTGTCCCAAAGAAAGTAAACGAACCTCAATGTCCCATGAAAATGAGAGTGAGTCAACGATGGCGGGGCACTTCCCGCCGAGCTCCAAAGTCACCGGCGTCAGGTGTTTCGCGGCGGCCGCCATAACAATCCGCCCCACTCGTTCACTTCCTAAGTGTTTTTTTTTACATTCAAAATTCAAAATCAAACATTATTATATAACAAATAACAAATAATATTAATATTAATAATGCAACCACCACAGGATCAACTGCTTCAATTAATTACTTCCACCTGTAAAGAAAATCTTCTCCCACCGCTGCTGCAGCAGCCGCTCCCCATCCGCCGCCCCACCTTCCACAACCCTCACAGCTTTATTATCAACATATTTCCCGATGGTATTCGCCAGCAAAGCCGAACTCGCCGGAGCAGACTCCGACGTCTTCAAAACCACGCAATTTCCGGCAGCTATTGCTCCAATCAACGGCTCCAACGACAACCCTTATCCCATTTTCCACACCCATATGTTATTATTAACGTCAACATTAAAAAAAAAAACACTTCCGAATCAAATTTTCACTCACCAAACGGAAAATTCCAAGATGAGATTATAAGAACAACGCCCAAAGGCTGTGGAACCATTTCAGCTGAGCTTAGCAACGCTATTAATGGCAGCTTTGCCTGCGTTTCAAAAAATTAAACCCATTTTTAACAAACCCATTTGGATTATAGCTCATAACCCATCTAAAAAAGTGACCTTTTTGGGTGACATCCAATGCTTCAAATTATCCAAAGCAGAGTTTAGGGACTTTTGCAGAGTACCAATCTACAAAAAAAAAAAAAAAAAAAAAAAAAAAAATGGCAAAATCTCAATAAAAAGAACAAAACAACAACTACAACAACAAAATCAAAATCCAAACCTCATCTCTAAAAGCTTCAACTTGGTGTTTCCCCAAATCTTGCATAAGGGCGCTGTAAATTTGGTGTTCATTGTGTTCTATAAGTTGGCGTAAGGCTTTGAGCTGTGACACCCTCCAAGAGGCCTCCTTTGTTGTACCAGTCTTGTAGTAATCTCTCAAATCCTCTGAATCCATTTTTGTTTGCTTGGATCTTACTTACTTGCTTCAACTATTTATACTCCTAACAACTATCCCTCTCGCTGCTCTTCATATTCCTTTTCTCCATCCCACTTCTGCCTCTTCTTCTTAATTTATGATTCCATTAATGCTAGCTAGTTAGGTTATTGTATTAAATTTACGTCGTCCACTTTGAACATAAGTTTTCGTTGTCAGATACTACATCGGTTGAGGAGGAGAACAAAACATTCTTTTTATAAGCGTGTGAAAACATCTCATTAACAAACGCATTTTAAAACCCTTGAAAGAGAATTTAAAAAAACAATATTTTCTAATAGTGGGCTTTGACTTTCGTTTTAGTTTATGAAGTTATAATATAATATCAAATACATTTATCCAATTATTAACTATCTTACTACCGGTCAAAGTATATATATGCACATGTCAAAAATCATTAATGATGGATCATAGGAAATTCGAAAATAAAATAGTTTTTTTTTTTTTTTTCATGTAATAATGAATAATGAATGTAGAGCTGAAGTAAAGGGGAAGTGGGTGGAGATGTGAATTCTTTAGATAGGAGGGAACACCCCGACGTGGGTTGCTCTATGTACTGATAAAATTAAATAAAATGTCCCTTCTAATTAGCCCATTTTAGTTATTATAATTTTAAATATTCAAATTTAATTATGAACATTTTTTTACATCTAAATTGGTTTGATAATAATAATGGTTTTAATATAAGAAAAAACCTCAGGTAAATAAATTTTCAAAATTATAAAGAAAAAGCTAATGAGACTAAATTTGAATATTTAAAAAGTATAAATATGAAATGAAAATTTAAAATAGGGACCAAACTATTATTATTATTATTTTATTTAATTTTATTTTTTGGGTGAGAAAAGCTCTAGAAGTAAATAATGTTTGGAGATATTAAACGAAGTTAAGTTGGTCCCTTTCAATTTAATGCTTATGGGATAAATAATTTAAAAAGAAAATGTATATTATTAAGAGAAGTGATGTGGCTTAATTTGGGCCAAAAAAAATAATGAAAACCAGACATTACTACTACACCGCTCCTTGTAACCTATTAACCTATTATTATTATTAAAATAAATGTAACAAGATGTAATAATTGAAGTTAGTAAATACGTCATAATAATGCTTAATTTCTAATTTTTCAGGCCACTATTTTCCTATCATTGCAGCATTCCGTTCTTCATACTTAATATTAATTTTTAGGTTAAATAAGTGATCGACGTATTTTTTTAAAATTAATATTATTATTATTAAAGGTTTGAGAACTTATTTTCTAGACTTGTTAAACATTTTTTAATGTTTAAAAATCTATTAAACATAATTAAAATTTTAAATATTTATAATATACTTCTGAATTTTAAGAATCTATTTCAGTTAAAATGGAATATGAAATTAGAAAAGGGAAAGAATAAAAAAATTGATGAAAAGATATAAAAAAATTTATGAAAAGATGAGTTTTTTGAAAAAGTCAATATGTGAAGTTGGTTGTGAAAAAGTCACCTAGGAAGATGCCACTTTGAATAACCCAAGCATTTAATGCAACAAAGAATGTATGAATGAATTAACATTACCATCGAATTAAGAGATCTTAAGGGTTTGCAAAGCATAAGTATGAAAGATTTATAAGAATTTATAGAGACGAAAATTACTTATTTTTAAGGGAGAAAAAACAGAGAGAGATGTAAGTGAGAATTAACAAACGAAAAAACTGCCGCCTAGACAGAGCCTGCAAATTGGACACAGAAGGCAGAAAGTATCACAAAGGCTCCGGCAATAAACATTCACCATAAAACCAGCGATAAATTAGATGGATTTGATAGTTCATCATTAATTGCCGTAGCTTTAATGCCTGTAACCATAACTGAGTAATCACATTGCCAATAATAAAACACCACACATGAGTAATCACATTGCCAATAATAAAACACCACACAAAGCCCTCTTGTACCTGACTCTCCGTAGAAGATCATGAATTTATAAGTGAAGAATACTATCTTCATTGGTTGAGGCCTTTTAAGAAACCCAAAGCAAAACCATGAGAGCTTATGCTCAAAGTAGACAATATCATACCATTGTGGAGAGTTGTGATTCCTAACATGGTATCAGAATCATGCTCAAACTTAACCCATGTCGATAAAACCCTTAAATGTCGAACAAAGAATTGTGGGCCTCGAAGGTGTAGTAAAAAACGACTAAAGTGTCGAACAAATGGTGTATTTTGTTCAAGGGCTCCAAAAAAAGGGGTTGAGCCTCGATTAAGAAGAGACTATTCGAGAACTCCATAACCTTCAAAGGAGGCTTATCTTTGTTCGCCTCGATTAAGGGAGGCTATTCGAGAGCTCCATAAGCCTCAAAGGAGGCTTATAGTGTACTTTGTTCGAGGGGAGGATTGTTGAGGATTATTGGGAATAAGTCCCACATTGATTAATTTAGTGGAAGATCATGGGTTTATAAGTGAGGAATACTACCTTCATTGGTTGAGGCCTTTTGGAAAGCCCAAAGCAAATCCATGAGAGCTTATGCTCAAAACGGACAATATCATACTATTGTGAAGAGTCGTGATTCCAAACTTGGATAGATGATAAGAATAATGATATTAAGGGCATCATAAGCAATTAAATTCAATACGAGTCAATATTCTATCCAAATAAGTTTCATGTTCAACTGTAGTTTACCATAATGTCAAAACAAGAGGTCTTGTGATTTGATTAAATATCCATAATGTTATAATCCATTGATTACTAATATACATTTCTCCAACTGTTCATCTTAATCTGCTAAACCTAATCAATTTTGCTGGGGAAAGGCAGAGCTCATCTTCTACTCAACAAATGCTAACCTAAAAGCTATGAACATAGTATTCAGACTATTGAAAATGACAAATAGCATGCTTATTTCACATGATTAATGTGAAATGACGCGTTTCTAACTCCTTCAGCAACTTCTCTATTAAGGATTAGCAAAGTAAATGGGGCCTAGAACAATCGATCAGTTTCCTCCATCCATAAACTAGGACATTAAATGAATGGAAAAGGCAAAGTGAAAGAGAACCACAAAATATTTGAACTGAACATCATACATCTATATATATATATACACATTAATTGAAAACTGAACACCATATTTGGTCACTAGCAAGTTGCGTCTTAAAAGTTATCACAAATATGAAGGATGAATTAGTGCGACAGACACATACCCGAGTAATTGTTGCATCTGCCTGCTCAACGCCCACATCCAGCACATATTTCCTTTTCTATTGAAGCAGTTGCAGTCGTTTATTTACTACTTGAGCAGCTTTTAGATTGGCTTAAACTGCCGTGCAATCAGAAACTAGTTCACATCCAAATATCCACAATTACCGTCCATTACGAACAAGACTTGTCTACTTGCCCACTTTCGGTAACAGATAAAGAGGCTCCTGTTACTTTAAACCATGACACGGATTGATAAAAATAGGGCTTAAAATCAAGATACAACTTTATATGACATTTAGAAAGAAATAATAATAAGCACAAATGGCTCATCTTTTCGGGTAGTTCCTCAACAACCCCGATTAAATTGTTTGTTCCTTCCAGGTAGACACAGCCTAGATAGCCACTGTTCAGCTATTTGACTGTTATGTATATTTGACCATATCCTTCCAATAAGTCCCAAAAGAGAACACAGCTCTTTCTGAATAAAAGATGAATCCAACTCCAGAGTTGCTCTTGCTAGGGGAAACAAAAAAATTTGTCTCTTTACCCATCTACTCACCTAGCGAAGGAAACTTCTCTATCTCGTTGTGTTGGATTCGTCTGAGCCTTTGTTGTAGCCTTACCTGTAACCAATAGAAAAAAATAATTTTGTTATTTCAGATGTGTCCCCTGTGCTTTGACCAAGTATTCTGAATTATTTTACCCCATTAGGTGATTCTTACCTTCTTTCTTCTCCATTTTTTTTCTACTTCGCCAAAGAAGCCGAATTGGTGTTCCAGGAAAACCTGCATCTGTACGCAGTTGTTTCTCCATATACCGCCGATATGTTTCAGGAAAAAGTTTTGCATCATTTACAAAGAAAACAAACGTGGGTGGCCTTATAGCAGCCTGTGGAGGACAAAGAAATATAACATATAACCAAGTTTAACAAGAATACTTGATAGATACATAGTGCTTAAAATTCTTATCAACAATGTGCTGCCTTATAACATGAAGGAAAGAAATGCAAAATTTCATATGATAGGAACAAACTAACAACTTTGCAACCTTCATCCTAAACCAAGAGCTGTAGATCATAGAACCATAAGAAGAATCGCCCTTAGTAATGAATACCTGAGTACAGTAATAAACACGTCCTCTCTTGCCCCCCCTTGTCCTTGGGGGTGACTTGAAAGCTAATGCTTCCTGTACTACTTGATTTAGTATGGAAGTGGTAAGCCTTCTAGACCTTTCCTTTTCAACTGCACTAGCAGCAGTTATAATCCTGATCCCACCATAAAAAATACGGCCATAAGCGTGCATCCAAATGCCAGTATATAAACAATAAAAGAAATCTTGTGCATACATATTGTATTTCCTTTCAATGGCTTGGAATATAAGGGAAAACTTCTACCATATAAACCATGTGCACGTTGAGGCACAATATAAAAGAAGTCATGTATAAATAAGTTTAGAAGTGTGATGGAACATACTTATCGACACTGTGACCAGTTATTGCAGTAGAGTAAACAATCGGTGCCCAATCAAGTGAACGTAGCTTTTCCCTGACATCTTGCTCATAGTACATTGTAGTCTGTTGGTTTTTATTTGGTATGGTATCCCACTTGTTGACAACTATCAAGCAACCTTTTCCTTCTTTCTCAATCCTTTCCGCTATTTTGTAATCCTAGGACATTCAAGTGGAATATGACAAGGTGGTGTAATTGAAAAACAATTAAGGAAGAAACAAAAGAATAAGCAAGAATGATCAATAAGTTGTTATATATGCTCTAAATAAAGAATAACAAAGCCCAAACGAAGATCTTTATAGGAAAAATGAAGCCGAACAAGGCTAGTAACATTCTGTTCCAAATGAAGAACTGTCTAGATACACCACTACAAATTCAATCATATCCTATCAAATTAGGAAGAAAGTGCAGCACCCGAGAGCCGTGTTGTTCAGCACGTTGGGAGTCTTGAAAAGTGAACCATCTTGAAGTTCAAGATTACTAGTCTAAATGTACTTTAGTAAAGTGAGAAATGATGAAGGAAACAATTTTCTTCTCCCTACCTTCTAACCAAGTGTTTCGAGAGTAAGGCTGTCCAAAACTAAACCAGAAAACCACCTGTTCGGTTACAAATAATAAAGTTCTACAACAGCCTGTGACATGATATAAAGCGATTGGCCACCTCCAGAAACAGTCCACAGCAGCCCTGACACAAAACGTGGGGGGGAAACCTTGAACATGGAAAACATGAATAGTAGAGTTGGAACCTGGACCTTGGATTTGATATGCATGAAATTGGGTAGCACGTAGCAATAGCTTTAGTTAGAGTGTTAGCAGCCCACAGATGTAATAAAGTGCAAATCTAGCTCAATATATTTAGTATGAGCATAGAAAACAGTATTGAGAAAAGCACTATTAGATTACACCAAAACAAAGGTGCCTCAACAATTGAAACATGGAACCCAGATAACAGTACTCTTCTTCTCTTTTTTTTATATCCTTTTTAGATAAGAGAGCGGTAATCTGATAGGGGTTCAAGAGAATTCCATGTAGAATTTATTAATATATCTCCAAATAATACACAAAGTACAAGATATATAAACTAGTCCCACCAAAATGCACAACACACCATTCTCGCACTTCCCTCCCTTTCACTGTCTTAACATTAACAACCTCTAACAATCTTCAATTGATCCTTTTCTAAATGGAGCAACAGGACTAGCCTACCTATGTATAATTCACATCCCCGTTCCTATTATCCTTCTCCTTCTTCTTCCTAGCATTGGTAAAGCAAAATAGTGGGGTGCACATTGATCAGTTAGCGTCAGTTTTGGGCTCAAGCCTACACCAACCTCCAACCTTTCGATTTCGGTTTTTCAGAGACTTGTGGATTTCTAACCATTGTACAAACCAACCAACCAGCCATTAGTTCGGCCAAAAGGTTTTGGTGATCCTAGAGAAAGAGTAGAGCGTATGATGACTGAGTGGTTAAAAAGACCAAGTTCAAGCTGAAAACTAAAGAAAAAGGAGGGAAGAGATGGAGAAGAAGGAAAAAGGAGGAGAGAGATGGAAGAAGATATGAGAAAATAAAAAATTAGAAGAAACAATCCAAGCATATAAAAGATATGAAGGATGAGAAAAAGAAGGAAGAGTGGATGGAAAAAGAAGGGAGAGTGAATGGGGAAAAAAAAAAGTTAAGGATGGAAAAAGAGGGAGGAGAGAAAAAGAAAATTGTTATACATTAAACCGAGTCTGAAGTCCAATGCATCATTTTTCCCTTCTTCTTAAGCATATTAATATTCCGCTCCTTGCTATTGTTTCAAGCTTAAATCCCAGGCGAAAGTCAAAGTTTATTATCAATATCATTTTATCTTCAGTAGAATAGTTTGAACGTAGGAATAAAAAATAATGCAATGCCCTCACGATGGTTTCATTTGGATTCAAGTAGTCTTACAGAACCTTAAAAGAATGAAACGTGAGAACAGAGCAGGAAGGTTCCTGGGTATTGGCCAAACTATACAATAAATTAATCCTTCAAGAAAAAACCATGGGTCTCACCTGTTCAGTGATACAAGCCATGGCTTCAATGACAAGAGCCACTACGTCAGAACGACGAATTGCACGAAATGCTCGATTGACAGATAGAGACTCAGTCAAGCTACCGGATGATGCTACAGTTGCCCTTTTTCTAATTCCAGCAGTATCAATTAAACGGAATTTCTGCAAGATAGATAACGCTTAAGTACTAGGAGCAACCAAGATTAGATTTCTACAATAATAACATGTACAAAAGCTCATTTGCACATGAATCTACCCAAGCGGCATTATTTTAACCTTTTCAGACAAGATTAGTACCCAGCATGCGAATTTTCCACCTCCAAGGAAAACCACCCACCCTGATCCTCTATTATAAAAAATAAAAAGAAAAAAAAGAAAAAAAAAGCCCAAGTTCCCTTTTGACACTCGACTCTCACATAATGTTCTTGTTTTACCAATTCAAAAGTTGACAAAGGTTTTTTATGAATGAATCAATAATCAAAGTAATTCCATTCTGGAGACCTTCATCGGTCAGATCACTCGAAACTAGTATCTAAATTTTAAAAAAGGTTTGAATAATACTACTATTATTATTATCAATTAAATGCAGTCTGAGTGAGTCTTCATATATCAAGTACTTTGCATAACAAACTATTAAGCTTATATTCATCAATAACACCTCACTTGGTTCAGGTTTGGGCTGTGATACCCAGCCCCGGTGATGTTCTTCTGATTAATGAAGTTTTTCTCATAAAAATAATAATATATGACAAAGGGTAGAATTGCAACATCTCAAACCTGACCATCTTGTCCTGTAAATTCAGTATCAATAGCATCACGGGTAGTTCCGCTGATTGGGCTGACAATTGTTCTGTCCTCTCCTACCAAAGCATTTAAAATACTACTTTTACCAACATTAGGTCGACCAACAATTGCTATAGCAGGAATGTAATCTTCTTCTTCATGCAGATCCTCAAGACCCTGATACAGGCACCACCAGATATTAATATCGATAACATTTCTATAAAACAAGAATATAGCGTTAAGAAGCAGAAATGCAAATACGCAAGATTGGTCATTGTTGATATATACTATGATCATGAATTTTTTGTTCAATACAATGTAATATATATATATATAACTACAAAAAGAAAATGGAATCCAAACTAACAAAATCAAGATAAGGTCATAATTACAATAAAAGCCTAGTGAACAAAGCCCATAAAGACACTTCAATACAGCAATATGGATACAGCATTGACATGGAACTCTTCGAATTAAATGACCTAGAGATGTCCTACTCATGGTACTCTTCTAAAAGCTTTTTAGCAGGGACAAAAAAATTAACAGATAATTCCAAAGTACATTATAATTATAGGGGTAAAAGACCAAAAGGTACTGTTAAAACTTGGAAACTCTAGACACACAAACAAATGCCAACGTTAATGAAGCAGGAACTCTATTCGACCAAAAGGTAATGTTGATTATACTACATTCACATCTACTTGTAAGGACACAAGTTTAAGCATTCAAACCTCACCTCAACTTTTTGCAACCCTGAACAAACAAGATCAAGAAGCTCTCCAGTCCCAGTTCCAGATAGAGCAGATACAGGAAGAGGTGTGAACCTGGTTAATAAATCAAATGATCAAAAATGGGTCGGAGCATGCGAAGTGAAAATTTGGCATGTAGACTCCTACCAAAAAAAACTCTCAATCAATCCCTCAAACACACCCCTACTAGAATGATGACTTAACTTAAGGAGTCTATTTTTGCAGTTGATAACATAAGATGAGAAGACATTCAGAAGACTATAACAGAAACATATCATCGTTGCAGACTGACATAGTCCAAGCATATAGAACTCGTATTGGAGATACAAGGAGAAAGAAAAGAAAATAAGAAAGAAATGGGAAGAGGAAAGAAAGATAATGGACAAGAAACAGGAGTTTCTCAATTTTCCCCTCCGCTGAAGAGCTCTGGTTTTCTCTCTTTCTAGATTTTCATACCTAAGAGTGTTCGCCTAGCACTTGTGGAAAGTTAAAAAACCGCACAACAACCAAAGTTTGTCAACTTCTAATTGCACCCTTCCCTTCCCCCTACTTATTTTGTTCCAATTGGCCCAACCATTCCTCACTCCATAAGTTTATAGGCTACAACCTTAACACGGTTTCTTCAGGAACATTTGCAAACTCGAAAAAAATTCTTTATAGCAATTGTCCAATCTAGAATTATGTATAACCCAACAAAAAAAAAAATTACTGCAAGCCAAGACATACACTATAGCAGATATAAATAATAGCATCCCCTGGAAAGGATCTCATCTGTGTGAGATTTATCGCATTAAACTCTATTATTGTAATCAAATCCATTTTAATAGAAACAAAATCTATAATATTATATATTAGTTTAAAAGAAGGAAATGTTTCAGGATTTATTATCAACCACCATGATGAACTGTAGTTTTGGTGTATTCAATTTTTCTTTTTCAGATCATAACTAATTTATCTAAATGGATGACATTTTGTAACTTCTCTTATATTATTATCCTACATTATGGTGTTTCCAAAAAAGGAATTAACCATAAAACAATCTTTCTCAACCCCAGTATAAGTATATTTTTCCGAGCTCTAAAATGAAGTGCATTCTCAATAATATTTCTGATTATATGGCAAGAGCATGGGTTGAAAGAATATCAAAGACTGTTAAATTTTGAAACAACTATGACTTCCGAGTGTTTCATTATGACCTAACCCCCCACCCCCACCAACATATGCACGAGAAAGTTTAAATTAAAAGGAAAATCCCCAATAACAACGTACCCTAAAGACCAAAACTCTGATGCCTGCATCATTCCTTTACGTGGAGACTCACACTTGTTAACTGCAAGAACTATATATTTATCTGAGTAGTTTCTACGAAGCCAATCAGCAATTTCTTCATCAGCTGCCGTTAGACCTGCCTGGTAAGAGTATCTTTATTTTAGATCAAAATCTTAATAGCATTAATATCAACATCATCACATGCTAGTTTGATGAAAATTTGTTGAAAGAGCATAATTAAAAATAAAAAAAAATTAAAAAAAAAGTTATGAGGATCAGCAACAGAAAATGAATTCGCAGAATGAAAATCGAGAGGAGAACAAGTAATATCCTGATATTTTGATCAAATTAATAAATATTTCAAACCATCGATGATATAAAACAATACCTACATACTTTTAACTGATAAGTATCCAATATTACGATAACCAGGGACAAGGCCACCTTTATTAGAGGAGAAAAAAAATTCTATATTTAACATTTTTTATATACAGGCATCCTTTATCCAAAAGTACTCCGAATAGAATTTTGACAAAGATAATTGATGCTCAAAAATTTTGAATAACCAATCCTGGAAAATAAATGCAAAAGCAAGTGCGCTTTTATGATCATTAATTGAAATTACCTGACCATCAACAAGGAATATGACGACAGAGGATTCTTCCACAGCTGCTGTAGCTTGCCTCTCAATCATTGACGGCATCCTTGCAACAGCTGCTTCCCTGGAAGCTAGGGGAATGCCATCCATGCCAATGGTTGTCGAGATTGCTAATTCCTCCAAGACATCATTTTGTGTTTTCGAAACAGAAAGAACCCCTCCTGTATCCACCACCATAAATTCATTGTCCCCCCAAAAGGATCTACCATATAACCGATCCCTAGTAACACCAGGTTCATCCACCACAATAGCCCTGTTTCCCTATGGTATCAGAAAGGCTAATTTAGAACAACATTATCTGGATAATAATAGTATTGGAAGCTTTAGATCTCATTTCCAGGGCGTGGATGCTCAATAGTAAAAATGGTAATAGGACTATCAAAAAGCAAGATTATTACCCCAACAAGTCTATTGAACAATGCAGATTTTCCAACATTTGGCCTTCCAACAATTGCGACTTTTGGAAGAAGATGGTCTGGGATCTGCATATAAAATTTGTAAGAATAGGGAAAAGAACATGTAAATTGTGGCATAGGAAACATATCATTTACAGCAACCAGTGAATTCTTCAAGGTAGCTCTATTCTCCTGTGTTTACAACAACAGAAGCTCAAAAACATCTTGGTTTTCACGCAATAAATTTGCAAAAGGATTGATAAAAAAGAACAAAGAGAAATAAATAAATGCATACATGACAAAGTTCCGTAATGTCCTAATATGAGTGATGGGTATGGTTATTATGAGGTAATGGAGTTGTCAACTAACAGGTTCCTGATAAGAGAGCTCACTTACCTTTCATGTGTATAACCAAAGTACATGAAGTCCAAATATATAAAGTCGATCCATTACAACCAGCGCAGTTTAGGTGGACTTTGACTTTTGAAATGGGAGGTATGCTTGGCCCCTTGTTACATTGCCTTTTTCCATTGGTCGCCTTTCATGTGTATTTCAGTTGTAATTCTGTTTATTTTGCATTTACAGTAAACCTATATATACGGCTGTGTTTTGATCACCATTAGTGAGAAAGAGTTTATTTTGTCTCTATCTGCTCGTTCCTTACTCATATCAAGAACTTATGATGGCATTAGAGCCCATGAAGTCCAAATGGATTTTCTGTCGAAACATTGGGATCCCTGACCCAAGAAATGTAAACCCAAAGAGGCTCCATGTTGAGGGAACTTGTTGAAAACCCCACATCAGAAAGATAAAATACTTGGCTTATCTTTATAAGATACATGACTCACTCCTCTAATTGCTAATTGATTTTCAGTTCTGAACATGCAATAAGTCTAACATCTATTTCTGTTATAAAACCATCTCAAATCACGTACTAACGTAAACAATTTCCAAACCCTCAAAGCAAACTATGAGTTTTTTTTTTTTTCCCTTCCAACTAGAATCTCTTTCTTAAATGCAAATTACTTGAGATTGTTGCAGTGACCTTTATTTTTTTTCCTTTTCCCTTCTTTCTAATTTCCTTCATTGTATCGATCATGACAGTAAAATTTAGGAATAAAAAGTAGGTACTTATATATTACTTAAATTAGTTCTTCAATCGAAAGTATTTCACGGAATAAACATGTGATGATGTCAGTTAAACTAAGCCCCCGATGAACTGAAGATGGAAATTAACAACAAGAGACTTACTGACATTTCTAGGTGTACGCTTATTCTTCTTCCGACCAGTTTCTGATTGATCATTCAATTCATCGTCTAAGAAGACCAGAAAATGAACAGAGTTAAGAGTAATCTTAGATATCAAATGCAATATATCGACAATATGACCAATAGGACTACTGGAAAAGCTGTGGACCATGGAGGAGATACATAATTGCACATAATAATTACAGAACTATGGTAATTCGACCATACCTGTAAGAAATTGGCAGCCCATCCTACACATGCATTAGCACATTTCTTTTTACGATAACAACCTCAAGCAGAAAAAAAGTACGCCAGTTAGAACACGCACCTAGTCTTAGTTCTCGGGATAAAGAGCTAGAATACTCTCGAAGAACGTCTTTGGCTTCTTCTTCCAAAGCCTCCACATCAATGGAGTAATCTACATCGTCAAATTCATCATGGAACCCTCCTGGATTCTCCCCTTCGGTATCTCCATAATTCTCAGGGATTCCAGTCTCGCCAGTAACCGAAGTACATTCGCAAACCGTTCGAAGCGAGGATGAGGAAGATTTATGGTAACCGGATAAGTTCAACAAGGAAAATGGACGAAGAACAGAGAAAGAGGACGAAATTGAAGAAGTAACAGCAAACGGATGAAGGAAAGCGAGTTTTCTAGATGAATTACAAGACAGGAGAGTTGAAGAGTAACAAAGCTTCAGAGCTTCCATGGTCGGAGCTCCGGACTGGCGCCTGGAACACTAAAGGAGGGAAGAAGGCGACCGTTTGGAGGTTGAGCAAATCGCAGAGAGGTTTATCTTTATCCGCAGCGCGGGGAAAGGATTTGGGTAATTGTAAAATAGCCCTATGGGCCGAGCCCATTTCATGACTGGGAAGCCCATTAACCAAAATTACTACACCAATGTAAAATTTTTATTAGTGGTCTAATTCTTCATCCGATTAACAAATTATAATATTAATCATAAGCTAATCTTGACCTTTAATAACTTCAAATGTATAATTATAAAACTTCTAAGAATTAGATTGGTAAATTAAAAATAATAATAATAAAACTAATAAACTAAATATTTTCTCTAATATTAATTATTTTTAATCTCGAGCATTTTATTAATATTATCATTATTATTATTTATTTATTTTGTGGTGTATGACTCATTGGCCCATGGGAGATTTGCAATATAGGTATTTGAAACATTGGGCAATGATGTCAAAATATGAATGCCAAATAATGTTAATAATTATTTTATGGTCCTCCCAACAACACATTCTTTTTTCCTTTTTATGCGTTGACCTTTGACTTCTTAATTGTCTTTTTTGGTTTTTGGGTTTTTTATTTAATGATTTATTCATTAATACATTTAATTACATAAATATAGTTAAGTTTTAAATTATTTAATATATATATATAATGTTAATTAAAGGTTCAAATCTTTGTTTTAATACATTGTTAATTTGAGAATTAAGATATTTTGACATTTCGATTCTCTTTCGGTACCCAAATCTTAACTTAAGATTGACTTTTTTTTTTTTCAATTTAATCTCGAGAGATTTTCGTACCAATAAGCACTAATTAACAAAGTTGATAGATAAATAAATAGGGCGACACTATTAAGCTAAGTTCTCAATTTCAACCACCCGAAGAGCAAAGGGTTTGGTTTAATTCAAGTTTGTGGCATTAGTTAGGTACATTAATAATGTAATTATTGTTGATTTTATTTTTTCTAGAAATAATTATCTTTAATCACTTTTCAACATTCAGTAATTAAAGCGTTACTTCTTTCAAACCGGAAAGCTACTTCCAATCTGTTTGTTTTCTATGAAATTAGTGTCTCAATAATTTCAATGTTTATTCCATAATTATATTAATTATTTATTAAGGGAACAATATTAGTCATCTCTTCTTTATTTATATATATATATATATATATATATATTTAATATTCTACTTGATGTTTTAAAGTTTTATTAATTAAAAAAAAATCTTTAAAATACTCCTAGATACACTTTAAAAATATTAACGAACTTAAAAAAAAAACATTAAAAAAATTTAGAGACAATTCATTATATATTAATAAACTGATTCTATTTATACGTAATAAACTTTTTGAATTTTTTGAATTTTTTATATAATAGTTAAGGATATTAATGTAGCTTTTAAAATTTTACTTATATTTATTTTAAAGTAAATAAATAACCGTTTGAAAATTAGAGGGAAGATATTTGCAATACTTTTTTTAAAGCGAAAGTTTAAGAATATTTTTTAAAATAAAATACAAAATTTAGATATATTTTTATTAATTTATTTTAAAAATTAAATCAAATTTTTTTCAGTAAAAAAAAAATTACTTGTTTGTTTACCCTTTTTTTTTAACTTTTTAGGTTGATTGCAGATAAAATACGTCAAAAGAAAAAAATGAAAAGAAAAAAAAAAAAGACTTTTTTTTATTAGAATAATAACTTAAAACACAATTTTCCATCCTTTTATATCAAACTTTTTGAAAGACCGTGCGCCTTTTGGAGTCCTAAAAATGTCTGTTAATCACAATAATAATTTAATATTTAAGCTTTAAAAATAAATTAATTAGAAAAAAAAAATTATAATTCCAAATTATCTTAAAATATATTTTTTTTATTATTAACTTGATTTTGCACTTATAACCCTCCTTCTATTCCATAAAATTAATTTTAAATAATTAAAAATACAACACAAAAAAAAAATATTTAAACTATGCATTATATTCCAAATATAAATCTAATTAAAAAAATGTAATATTTTATAAATTAATAATTAAAAAAAATCTATCTTAAACTACACGTGTGGAAGAGAGAGAAATATAGGTTATGTGTAGTGGAAGCAAATATCTTGGCTTGGTTGGAAAACAATCTCTCTCTCTCTCTCTCTCTCTCTCTCTCCAATATATTTTAAAATATTTTTGTTTTATTTATTTATTTATTTATTTATTTATTTCTTTCTTTCAGGTCCCCCTCCAAACCGTTTCTACCAAAGACCCATCAACCACCGGTTCGCTCTCTCTCTCTCTTCCCAATATTGTAAGCAAACCCCACAACCATCTCCATCATCATTATTATTTTTTCCTACTCCATGTCTTTTATAAATTCTACACAGATCCACATCAACCCACTTCCAACAACATTAACCCACTCACATAATGAGGAAGCCCGACGCTGCTGCGCCCGGCGGAGGATGCGGCGGACCAGCTCCCACCAAGCTCAGAAAAGGGCTGTGGTCGCCGGAGGAAGACGACAAGTTACGAACCTACATGCTCAACAATGGCCAAGGCTGCTGGAGCGATGTGGCTCGTAATGCCGGCCTTCAGCGCTGTGGCAAGAGCTGCCGCCTCCGTTGGATCAATTACTTGCGGCCTGATCTCAAACGCGGCGCCTTCTCTCCCCAAGAAGAAGACCTCGTCATCCACTTGCATTCTCTTCTTGGCAACAGGTCAATTTTGAATAATTTTTTAATTTTTTTTAATTTTAAAAACATTACTTAAATTATTTAATTTAACGTTGACTTTAGCGCAGATGGTCTCAGATAGCGGCTCGATTACCGGGAAGAACGGATAACGAGATTAAGAATTTTTGGAACTCGACTATTAAAAAGAGGCTTAAGAATTTGTCCTCCACGCCGTCGCCGAATACCAGCTCCGACTCGCCCTCCGGTGACTCAAAATCCAATCTTTTTCCCACCTTTTTATTAGGTCAAGATCAACAACAACAACAAAACTCAATCGACTTTCCGATCTTCGCTGCCGATCCATCACCTTCCGTTATCGCCCTCGACCCTTTCCCTCTTCTCTCCACCACCCACGGCATACCATTCTTCCCCAGCGCTGCCCCAACCTTCACCGGTGGCGTCGAGATGGGATTCTATCGTGAAGACGATAGCTTCTTTAATCTCCCTCTTTTGCAAAGCGTTAACACAACCACGACCACCGCCACCGCCACCGCAGCCACCGGTGGAGAAACTAAACATAGTAATTACTTAATTAACAACAATCCAAAGATGGAAAGCATGAATGGTGGGGTTGGAGCAAATTTTATTCACGAGGAGTTTTCAATGGGCGAATGGGAGTTGGAGGATTTGATGAAAGACGTTCCTTCTTTCCCATGTTTGAATTTTCAAGTTCAATAACAATTTTAATCATAATTTCTAGACTGTTTTGTTCTTCATTGGTGACCCTTCAAAGGCACTCCATTAAAGAGACAATAATGTAATGTACAGAAACATATACAGACATTAATATAGTTTGTAATACTCATATGATATGATATCGAGCCATAAATTAATGAGTATTGAGTTAAAGAACATTGAACAACAATGAGTATCTATTCTATTAATGGTGTTTAATGATCACACCGTTGAGAGATGAATCTCTCGCCCACTAAGGGAATTTGAAATGGATATGCGATCATTTCTTTGTTTTTTGTCTCTAACCCTTTTGCTTTTCGTTAACTAATTATGTCAATTAGGGATTAGTTATCACATGCTTGGTTTCAATTCTAAATTCCATTATTTAACACACTATCTCTATCTTCGTTACCTCTAACGAAAGTGTTATCGTCCACTTTCAGTAGACGCCTTCATGGGTTTGGCTTTGGTCTTACTCAAAACGTCATTCTAACGTGAGTCGTTGGTCATATTCCCGATAATTCGTTGCTTCGAACAAAGAATCATCAAACTATCATCAAACTATCATCGACCCATTTTTATTCTCGATCGAGCGTATCACATTTTAACCATACTAGCTCATTTTCGACAATGTACGTATATGATGTATATATTGTCATTTTATCCAATTTCGTGTTTAGGGTTTTAAAAAAGTTTCAAAATTTCTCAAATTTTCATAACATGTTAAAAGAACGAGAACGAGTTGCACATAATAGAAAAAGAGAATGGCTACATGAACAAAGAAGATCGAACCGTGCATTTCAAGAGAGTTGGTCATGATTTTGAAATGGGTATGCATTTTATTTCAATCGAGAAAGATATGAACGAGTTTATCTGAATTGGTTGAATTTTTACCTCTGAATCAATTAATCTCAATATAGAAATTATTTTCTAAAAAAAGAAAATACATACTTCAAAAATGATCAAATGATGCACAGGTAAACCCTAAAAAAGTGAGACCCTTCTTTTCCATTTGAAAGAATGATAAAAAGAGAGCCCTTTTATTCCTAATCATTTTATTGAGGACTTTGAAGCCTAAGCCACAACTAACTAAAGATTTGGTTACTTGAACAACAAATAAAGTACACTTGATCGTGGATTAGTTGCTCGGTGATTTCGGGAAGAAACAAACCAATTTACCTTATAAAATTCTTAACTTAACGAATGATTCCAATCAAGAACAATTCTTCGATTAAATTTTAAATTTATGAAGATCATTCTTATTTTATAAGACGATTCACTCTAGAATTAGCTTGATCGAGACTAATCCAATGACTCTATGAAACTTCTAAACCTAAACCCATATTTGAAAAGAAAGACAACACCATTTAAAAAAAAAAAAAAAAAAAAAAAAAAAAAAAAAAAAAAAAAAAAAAAAAAAAAAAAAAAAAAAAAAAAAAAAAAAAAAAAAAAAAAAAAAAAAAAAAAAAAAAAAAAAAAAACTTAATTATTGCATTGGGTTGAATATTTAAATTAAGGCGAAATCTGGTACTGGGCCATGGTATCGGGCCCGTTAATGGGCCTCGAAACTCTTGTAATTTGGGAGAATTAGTGATTTTTAAATAGGAAAAAATAACGTCGCCTGAGAGATTCGAAC